GTTTGCAATGTAGCCAACACAGACCTCCTCTGACCAATCAGAGAGCTCCATTAGCCCTATACCGGCGTGTTCACACAGTATGTACACACGTTCATACGATACGCTTAGAGGATCAGGCCCCAGCTAAAAACTCTAAGAAATACACAGTATACGATGTATTTCATTGCTTTTTTAATGAACATGCATGAGTAAAATATGTACATACTACTCATAATTTTATTAAAAATTTAATCCTTAGAATGGTTGTCGATGTATAAACACATAACTTTCTGATGATAGTAATGCTTAGTAGTCTGCTAGCAGAAAACAAACATATCGTTTAGTTTCAAATATTAGCACAGGTATTGCTGCAATCGCTTTTTCAGCTTGTGCACGTAGCGAATAGAGTAGGGGTGAAGAGGATCTTCGAATGCCCCCACCACTATCAGAGCAGACCCTACAACAAGTATGCAGGGGAAGACGTATTTCTCCTACGGTCCTCTTATACTAAGGCGTGTTTGGTCAATGTCCCCAAAACTAGTACCGAACGTAAGAGCAATATTCAAATAAGGTCCAACAACGTGAACGCCTATCACACGAAGACCCAGGGTGCTTACTGCCTACTCTGTTGAATAATAAATTATTGATGAATAACACAAGCGCCTATCATCAGATGACCCGGGACGCTTACTGGCCACTGAATTAAATATTAAATTATTAGTGAATAATACAAGCGCCTATCATCAGATGACCCGGAACGCTTACTGGCCACTGAATTAAATATTAAATTATTAATGAATAGAATGAAAATGGGCACTCTACTAAATAGATAAATTGATAATAACACAAGCACCTATTGAATAATTAATTATTAACTAATAACACAAGCGTCTATCACCCGATGACCCAGGGTTCTTCTGGCCACACTATTTAATAATAAAATTTTAATTGATAACACATGTCAGCACTCAATATTTATAATTGTCTAATATAACAAAAACATCTTAGGTAATTGGTGATCTGGTTATTAATTATCGTATTGTTATTTAGAAGACTGGCCAGTAAGCGCCCCAGATCATCGGGTAGTAGGCGCTTGATTTATTTATTGAAAATTTATTAATAATAGAGTGGCCAGTAAGCATCCCGGGTCATCTGATGATAGGCACTTGTGTTATTCATCAATAATTCATTATTCAACAGAGTAGGCAGTAAGCACCATGGGTCATCGGGTGATAGGCGTTCACGTTGTTGGACATTATTTGAATATTGCTCTTACGTTCGGTACTAGTTTTGGGGACATTGAAGGCCTACGCAGTCAAATAGACATAAGGTGCACAGTGCACAAGAATAACATTGGTCTGTATACCTATATACATAATGCACAGCGCGTTGTGCTTNTATTTTTTTTTTTTTTTAATTTTTTTTTTTTTTTTTTATATTATAGTGCTCTACGTCCGGCTCCTTTTAATAAGGGCACTACTATGGGCACTTAGCACTTTGGAGAAGGAAGGGAAGAGGGATGGGAGGCCTCCCAGTACTAGGAGGGGGGTAGGGGGAATTAGGCTGCGAGGAGGTCGCCTAAGCCCTCCTCGAGGAGCATTGCGTGGAGAAAAAGCACATGTTAAAAATCACAGAGGTACTTTCCCGAAGTCGCACTGGCCGGGAATCGAACCACGGTCTCCCGCGTGCCAATCCACGACCTAGCCGACCGAGCCACCGCGCGCTCTGGTATACCTATATACATAATGCACAGCGCGTTGTGCTTTACGTTTTTACATATATAGATATACCAACCAATGTTATTCTTGTGCAATGTGCACTGTGCACCTTATGTCAATTTGACTGCGTAGGCCTTGACTGAGCATGCCTTAGGGCTCGGGCACATGGAATCGCGTAAAGCGTAAAGCAAATCGCGTATCGCGTAAAATTATAGGATCAGGGAAAGTTAGGTAAGTTACGCTTTACGCGAAAAAATTTGTCATCGCGCACATGGGAGTAAAAAATACGCGCGTAAGTGTTTTTAAACCAATCACAGCGAGTATTTCGTTGGTTTTGCACATGCTGTCTCGCTCGCACTCATGGCAAAAATAAAGTTACGCCCGTATATTTGTAACCATGTGCGCAATGACAAATTTTTTCGCGTATAGCGTAAATAAAGTGTGTAAGCTGTAAATACAGTCAGCAGCTAATGTCAGCAACAACAATTACAGTATCAATTGTATAGTTAATCGAATTTCTGACATGGATGAAAAATAAATCGTAAGAACTTTGGGCAAATTGTGGAAAGTCTATATGACCTACGCAATGACCCAATATCGCAAAGAAAAAGTGAAAAGTGTAATGATTTAGCTGTATGAAATGTATTAACGGCTCTCAAATAAAAAGAAAAAAAGAAGTATATACTTAAAAACTTTTTTTTTTACATGTACGCAGGTTAGAATTTACTTGCGTGGAGAACTTCGAAAGCTTTTTTTGTTGACAAGACAGCAGATTGGTCAACTCCCCTCTAAATACTTCACACTTACGCGATACGCGAGGCTTTTACGCGTTTTCTATGTGACCACAAAGCGGCGTATACCTAATTTCCTTTACTTTTACGCGATACGCTTTACGCTTTACGCGGTTCCATGTCCCCGAGCCCTTAGTATCAGGGGACCGTAGGAGGAACGAATGAACGCATCTAAAATGGTCAGGACACACCTCTTATATATCCTTTCACGATGGACGAGTCAAACCATTATTACACAATGGGTCAAACTATAGATATATCAAATTTTAATGAATAAACAGTGCCTTTATCTTCAGTTAAATTTTGATTTCAATAATACCCTCCATATTATTAAAAGATATGACTTTAAATAAACATTAATTAAAAAATTGTGTAAGGATGAAGTTTGGGAATAACAGTCAACTTTAAATTGATATTTTTGTTTTGTTTAGTAAAGTAAGCGTTAGTTTCAGGTTGTCACCTCTATTTTGTGAAAACACAAATTTGAATGTTACAGAGTTTATGACGGCTCCAGGAACTCCGCGAATGACTTTCGAATTGGGACATGAAAAAAATACCCGAAATTGCGGAATCGTTAGCAACGTTTGCAATCACTTTGCAAAAAATTGTCGGATCTTCCGGTTGTCTATAAAAAAATAAAAACTAAATGGTCCAGCAAGAGTCCGAATAAGTACGTTGTCTGGCTGAAATACTCCACATACGGCTATGAAACTTACTTTAATCGTTTGCAATTTAATTGTCGATGATGATTATCTATTGCATTATCGTAAAACTAACAGAAAAACAATGTGAAATAATTATTTCAGTCATTGCGAATGAAGTCTTCTCTGCAGCTATATATATATATAGCTAGAGCGCTCTCGAAAGCAGACAGACTACCAAACTGGCGGAAAATTCAAATATGTCGCACAGTAGAACAACTTCTATTAATATCAAGATTTATAATTCAAAATAGATATTGAAGAAAAGCTAACACATGAGTAATTACAGAAGAACCTTAAACTTATTATTTTTTAAGTGAACTTCGAAAATGTGTTTTTACGTTACGCAATCATCTGCTCTACGTGATTGAAGTCGATTCGGTCTTATCAAGTTGAATAAAATACTAAAAAAAACTCTGTTGCAGTATGAATTTGTAACAAGTGTGCATTATTAATAGAACAAATTATTGTGATACAATAAGTATAAAACTATCATTTTGGCGTTTGTAAGTTGGTAACGTGAGTCAGAGCAAATATATATATATATATAGGTACANAATATATATATAGAGCAAATATATCGAGCTGTATACCTATAAATATAAATATAGCTGTACCTATTTATATATATTTGCTCTGACTCACGTTACCAACTTACAAACGCCAAAATGATAGTTTTATACTTATTGTATCACAATAATTTGTTGTATTAGTAATGCACACTTGTTACAAATTCATACTGCAACAGAGTTTTTTTTAGTATTTTATTCAACTTGATAAGACTGAATCGACTTCAATCACGTAGAGCAGATGATTGCGTAACGTAAAAACACATTTTCGAAGTTCACTTAAAAAATAATAAGTTTGAAGTTCTTTTGTAATAACTCATGAGTTAGCTTTTCTTCAATATCTATTTTAAATTATAAATCTTGATATTAATAGCAGTTGTTCTACTGTGCGACATATTTGAATTTTCCGCCAGTTTGGTAGTCTGTCTGCTCTCGAGAGCGCTATAGCTATTTGTATATATATATATAGCTGCAGGGAAGACTTCATTCGCAATGACTGAAATAATTATTTCACATTGTTTTTCTGTTAGTTTTACGATTATGCAATAGATAATCATCATCGACAATTAAATTGCAAACGATTAAAGTAAGTATCATAGCCGTGTGTGGAGTATTTGAGCCAGACAACGGGTGTTCTCCGCAATCGTCACCAGCAAGTAATTTAAGGTTGCGCTCTACGTTACCGTCAGGTCGGTAAGTCAACTACCTTGAATTAAACTGGCACTCTATTCCGTAATCTGGCCAGTTAAGACAGCAGACGACGTGAAAGTCGAGGAAAAAGTGAAGATTTCATCGCTGTTGACTGTCGTCTGCTATTTTAACTGGCCAGATTACGGAACAGAGCGCCAGTTAATTCAAGGTAGTTGACTTACCGATCTGATGGTAACGTAGAGCGCAACCTTAAATTACTTGCTGGTGACGATTGCGGAAAACACCCAACGTACTTATTCGGACTCTTGCTGGACCATTTAGTTTTTATTTTTTTCTAGACAACCGGAAGATCCGACAATTTTTTGCAAAGTGATTGCAAACGTTGCTGACGATTCCGCAATTTTGGGTATTTTTTTCATGTCCCAATTCGAAAGTCATTCGTGGAGTTCCTGGAGCCGTTTATGACACTAATGACAAGTTTCTTACAGGTGTATATGTCAAAAACCTCCAGATCGTGTCGTAAATGTCGTAATCCACCACTGCCATGAGTATACCTATATACATTACACGTGGTCGAGTCCGTCGTTTGAAATGACCGTTACTTACTGCAGCTTGTGAAATTTAAACTTTTATGTGTGTGTATAGGCACTAAAAGAGCATGTTAGTGCCTTTTGAAATTTCATTTTTTGACACCTTAATCAACTCATACAGAGGTGAGCGTCTCACAATGTGAAGTAAACAAATTTGACTCTCCAAATACAGATTAGTTTGAAGATAAAAGTATGTCGAAAAACGAGCAACTAGCAAGTCGTATACAAAAACTTTGACGTTAGTTTTTTGTTTTGCTCCTCCGCACACCGCTAACCAACTATAAAAACAAAGGACGCTCTCAGCCACTTCTCATTATTCGTATCCCGTATAAGAGGCAGTACATACCTTGGTGTAGATAGGGCTCAGGTCTTCAAAAATACGGTAAGCTGGTCGACGTCAGGACACGAAATATTCCTCGAGGAATAAACAATGGATTTGGGCAAGGATTTTTACCAAAAGTGGAAGGCCAAGTCGACGAACAACCGGTGTCTGTTTCTGGAAGACTACTCCGACATTTCAAAGATAGAACCCGACAAGATCTTCTCCTCGACTGCCCTGGAGGAGCAGGAAAGGCCCGACAGCCACTTTAGCCTCCGGCTATCATCCGAGTCGTACGTTGACGAGACGCAAGAGGAGTGCCCGGAGAAGCCAAGACCACAGCAGGTTATCCTGATCAGTGAAAGTAGTTCCAACGATAGTGCTCTGCCTCCTGACAAATCAAGCGAGCCAACAGCCCGTAAAACTCCTGTCGCCTTTGTTCCCATCACTGGCTGGGTTGAGCGGAATCAGGAGTCATCCTCGTCCTCCGAAGATAAGGTGAGGCCCACCAAGCCTTTGTTGCAACAACAGCCATCAATAGCTATCATAGAGGACAGTGACTCCGAGGATAACGGCAAGTCCAACGCGGTCTCAAAAGAGATCGTGGCTGACGGCGCGACCCTGTCCGAGAGAAAGAAAAAGGAAATACTCGATTGGCTGGCATGCAACTTTGACAGCATGAGGTGCGGTGCTGGCACTGGTGGTAGTAGCTCGTACAGCCAGGACAGCGTAGTCTCGGGGAGCAGGAAAAGCGGTACTACCAGCTCCGGAAACAGTAGTCTAGAGCGGCTGGAGATGAACTATGAGACCCCCAATAATCGACATAAGTTGGTAAGGCCGACTATCAGCGACAAATTAAGGGAATGTGAGAAGAAAAACAACAAGCACCTGTCCAGGCGAGATCAAATTTCTCGACGGTCAAGGGTGATACAGCTGGATATCGTCAGGGATCAAACCCCTGGCAGCAAGAACTCCGACAAAACGCCAACAAATGTCAGATCCAATCGTAGGAGAGTCATTAAGAACGCAACGCCTGCGAGCACAGGCTCCGACAGCACTCTGAAAAACCAGGTAAGATTAGTTTCAGGTAAACGCATAAACCAACAGACTTCTGCTGGTAAAAGTATCACCAGGACACCGATTGGCAATGCAAGGTCATGTGTAAGAAAAATCATCAAAGATAAATCACCTGTCTGCATGACGGTAGGCAATACGCCGCCTACAGTTGTCAAAATCGATCGGAGACCAATAGTTATGCCAGAGAGATTATCATCTGAGGTCGAAGATTCCGAGGAGCAGTTGTCAATAAATAATGCGAAATCGAATGTCATAATATCTGAGTCAGAATCGTTTGAGTCCAAAGAAAGTGATGATTTTGAAAAACTGAATAGCGAAAGAAGTAAAGAAATTCTTCCAGACGTGCTTGCAAGGTTGAATTATCATAACAAATGCAGTAGCTTGAATAAAGTGCAGGCTTTGGATGGTTTAAGTTTGAAAAACAAGCCGTCAAGTCCTAAAAATTTGCAAAAACAATCGAAAATTGCATCAAAAGCCTTAGAAATTACAGATGATGCAGATATTTTCAAAAAATCCATCAATCCGAACAATCAAGCTCAATTAACCGCTGATAAACCATTGGATCCCGAAGTTTTTGAAATCACAGATGATATAGATAATTATGATGAATCACCAGAACAATGTTCTAAGGACAAAGAAAGTCATCAAGAAGTTGATCAACCTGCGCCAGTAGTTGAAACTGTGAATACCACTGTTAATGATTGTGCAGACATTTTAGAGAATTTATACGGAGAAGCATGGAGAAATAAAGCAAAGACCCTTATTTCATCAGCAGAGCCGAAAAAGCAGATGAAAGATGCACGGACGGAAAAAATGAATAATTTTCGAAAACCGCAATTCAACTTGGAATCCAAGAGCAATTTTTCAGATAAGAAAAATATTCAATCTACAGGTAATAGAACAAAGTCCAAGAATCAGAAGTCAAAGGATAGTTTTATTAATAATCGGTCAACATCGGAAAGTAGTAGTCCAGATGGCTCTTACTACACAGCTCTCAGCAATCCCACGTCTCAGAATAATTTGCCGGCAATCAGGACTACTTCCACGGTAAAAGTAAGCGATAAGAACGTCAAGAGTACAGTGCTAGCTATTTGTGATTCGGAGTCATCGGATGATAATATCAAAGACAATGGTGACGACAACGATGAAAACTGGAAAATGAGAAGCCCGGTTCAGAGGCGACTGAGCTTTGATTCCTCCAGTAGTTCTATTACGAGCGAATTTGATCCAGATGACATTGTCCCACCCAAAACAAAAGCTAAAACAATAAAATTTAAAAAGTTCACCGGTGCCGAAGTAAGCAAACCAAAGTCGCATCAGCAGTTTGACAAACGATTTGTGAAAAAAAGTTTCCTGGCTTCTCTGTCGAAGGAGGTGCCTCTGCACCAAGCAGACTTCAAAGCAATGACCTACAGAAACAAATACACCGTACTCAAGGAGGAATTGTGCAAGGTATTGTTCAGGGTATTTAACGAAAAGGTTTTTCAAAGTAAACTGCCGGACGACATGGTTGTTGAGTGGAGCGTTCGATTGACTGGTACTGCAGGAAAATGCTACAACAAACAGACGGTGAAAGCTCTCGGCAAAACTACCAAGTCGTCTAGGATTGTCTTGGCCGCCAAAGTCTTGGACTCTCCAGAAAGATTGAGGGACACGTTGATTCACGAAATGTGTCACGCTGCGACTTGGTTGATAAACAATGTGTCGGACGGCCACGGCAGATTCTGGAAAGCATGGGCACACAAGGCAATGAAAGTTTTCCCAGAGCTACCACCCATTACTCGGTGTCACGATTACCAAATACAAACTAAATACACGTACAAATGTACTTCGTGCGGCTACAGTATTGGAAGACACTCCAAGTCCCTGGATCTGAACGTCAAACGATGTGGCTACTGCTATGGAAAATTTGAACTGTTGATAAACAAGGTCACAAAGAATGGGAAAGTGCAAACGAAAAGTACGGCCCAGAGCAGAGAACTGACGGGCTTTGCCCTTTACGTCAAAGAAAACTATCAGTCGGTGAAGAAAAGTGGGGCTGCAACGAAGCACGCCGAAGTTATGAAGTTACTGGGCCAACAGTTCTCTGCCATCAAGTTGATGCCCAAGCCGGGAGATCGCTGCAAAAATAATAATAACGACGAATCGCCGTAACCGCAAGATTCCAAAGTGTAAATAGAAAAACTGGAGTGCAAGATTTTAATTGTAACCAAGCGCTTTTTCCCAAACGACATTCATCAGGACTAAAGACTGATGCAAATGTTTTTAAAGTTAATTATTGTTGATTTAAAATTTTTAAGAGTATATTGTAAAAAGTTCAGATTTATATCATATTAAAAAGCTTACACCTTTTTTTTCCTCACGATGGGGAAAAAGAGGATTCCAATTGTGCAGATCATAGATTGATATTAAAAATTATAAGCTGAGCACTAGACAAAGTGAGCAATGACGTTCACGATAATTATATTTCCATGGATACATTTCTGAAGAGCTGTATGCCACTAAATCAACTATTATAGGATGGAGATGCGTGCAATCTGCATCGAATTCTGCAGTACGACGGAGCAGAGTCGGCAGAGAGAGAACGCCCACACAAATATATATATACCGGACTTGTATACTTATACATACAAAAATACAAAACAGTACGAACCAACCTTAGCTGAGGTATTATGACGGCCAGGCCAACAGCCCTCCCTACGCGTGAATCATCTGCAATAAGTATTGTATACCTACATCAGCAGGCATCAGTCACAGCCACAGTCTACTTTTTGCCCTCACATCCAGTGGGAAAGAAAGAAAATACGGACGTACCACTTTCATCCGTCAGGGCAATAGAATACGTCCACGTCTCCTAGGACTTTGTTGGTGGGACAAAAAGGATTGGTGCATGTAAGAGAGAGAGAGAGAAACAAAGGACGAGCAAAGCAGCAAGCAATGGCCGAGATATTTGTTTGCTAATACATGAGTGTAGCTGTAAATGACGACGAGACCCCATATGCAGGAGTCCCATCAGACACTTTGTGCAGCTTCCATTCATGTACACACAAACAATCAAGATGCCAGTGCAGAAGGACTCGAACATCGTCAAGATAGCCGTTCAGTTCGCGGACCAGGTGCCACAGCTCATTGAGTTCAATCAGAAACAGCCTCTCACCTGGATCATTCAGGTAGGCCTACATTTATTTATCCATGCCCCTTCTACCGCTGTTTAAATCCTTTTAGAGCTTCGTTTTTTAACCAATGCGGACGAGGTGTGTCCCCTAAACAGGATACATGTGTAACTGGACACACCAAATATAAGATGTAAAAATTAAAAAATTATTTAAAAAATAATGACATTTAATACTTTAGGAAGTATTTTTTCTAATAATTTTAACACAATTTGGTATAAAAAGTGATTCAAGGTACATATTAGATTAAGTGCTCGGATACTTGGTTTGAATTCAATTAGTCAAAGCTTTACCATGCATCGTAATCTAAATTGCTTGTAGTAGTTCATTCAAAAAACTTGAGTAAGATTGGATTCGTTTTTTCCTTTCCCAGTTTACAAGTTTGTTAATTTAGTCAGAGATTTTGTGAACAGTACACTTATGTCCATAACAACAATTAATGAAAGCTCATTCTCAAAGCATTTTTGTGTTTGTCTTGCTCTAGGAACTGTGTAATGGTTGGGATCTCCCGGATCACGAGTCATACTCGCTTCAATTTTCCGATACCAACAATCAGAACTACATTAACGAGAAAAACCGTAATGAAATAAAAAACGGTAGCATCCTCAGGTTAGAACACTCGCCATCAAAAACTGCTATTGATATTCTCTCCAAGCTAAATGCTGGTAGTTCAGAAGATGAAGTTGTGAAAGCACTAGAAAAGCTTAGCCGCTTGAGTCGAGATATTACTTTTGCTTTAGAATTCACCAATCAAAACGGATTGAACTTTGTAATCTCTCAGGTAAGCCATGTAGCCACAGAAGCCATATTTTTTACTTGAATCTCATATTTTTCTGTTTCACAAAAATGGCCACTTGCAGGTTGAATCAGAGAAATACAAAACAAGTGCTTTGGCCTTCTGTTTGCAATCGTTTGTCGAGTTGATGGAACATGGCATCTCATCCTGGGATATCCTGGGAGCGCCATTTATAAACAAAGTGGCCAGTTACGTGAACAATCAAGCAATAGTCATTGATGCCAATGTCATCAAAGCTTCGCTGAGTATCCTTGAAAACATAGTCTTGAACTCGACCGACAAGTGTGGCCAAGTCGAGAAAGAAGTAACTTTTCCAAACCTCGTGTGGCATTTACAAAACATGAATCCGCAAATCCAACAAAACGCTATTGCTTTGATTAATGCGTTGTTCTTGAAAGCAGACATGGCCAAGCGGAGAGCTATTTCAGCTACTTTGCAGTCAAAGAAAGTCAGAAGTGTATTCCTCACCAACATTATTCAATCGACTAACCAGGTAAATTTTTCCCAGTCCCAAAAGACACAACCAAGCAAAACCCCTTTGCAAGTATTTTTTACCACATACTCGATGATTCTTGCAGGTCGGCACGGAAATGGCTCATCAGTTGTATGTCTTTCAAACACTAACCCTCAGCCTACTCGAGCAGAGAATGATGACTAAAATGGACACACAAGACCAAGATGCGCATGACAAAATTAAGGAGCTCCGTATGATTGCCTTTGACTTCGAGGGTAGCAATAGCAGTGACATCGCAGCTCGAAAACAGGGCCTATTCGCCAAAGATTACAAAAAGTTGGGCTTCAAATGCGACATCAATCCTGCCCTAGATTTCACGGAAACCCCACCGGGAATGCTGGCTCTTGACTGCATGGTGTATTTTGCTCGCAATCATACCGAAAGCTACACCAAGGTCGTGCTGGAAAACTCATGTCGGGCAGATGAACACGAGTGTCCATTTGGAAGAACCAGCATTGAGCTTGTTAAACTGTTGTGTGAGGTTTGTATTGGAATGTTTAAACTTGATTGTTTCTTGTATCGAATAACACACGATTCGTTGATACCAAAGATATTTTATTTCAAAGATTTTACACATCGGGGATGCCCCGAACGAGCAAGGCCAATGCTACCATCCAATGTTCTTTACGCATGATCATCCGTTCGAGGAGTTTTACTGCGCTTGCATTGTCCTGCTGAACAAAACGTGGAAAGAAATGAAAGCTACGACCGAGGATTTCGGTAAAGTGTTTTTGGTTGTCCAAGAGCAGATAACAAGAGCCTTGGATTCAAAGCCCACGTGGCTCGACAAGTTTAAAACCAAGCTGCAGCAGTTGACCTACTCCGACATCACGAATTTGCGCCAGCAGGAGAGAACTAATCGAGAAGAGTGGGGAAATCACGCGAGACCCATTCTCACGCTGAAAGACAAGATAACCCCGGAGATCATGGATCTGATACAGCAGCAACGATTGGGATTTCTCGTGGAGGGTACAAGGTTCACCAAGTACAGCACGAGAGGACAGGTTTGTATATTTCATCATTTGTACATCTCACACCTGGAAACTTGTTTACTAGTTGTTATAATTATGGTTTTTTTTTGTATCCGTAGAGAATGAAAGACAAGTTCTGGTACGTTCGTCTGTCACCGAACCATAAGGTCTTCCACTACGGTGATTGCAATGAAAAGTCAGTGCCAAGTATAGACGAACTGCCAACAAAGCTGGCCGTCGTCGAAATTCGAAGTCTCGTTATTGGAAGAGATTGTCCTCACATGAAAGATTTACAGCGACGAAAGACCACTCACCAGTTGGCTTTCTCTTTGATTTTGGATTCTGTAGATGTTGCAAGCTTAGACTTTGTAGCTCCTGATGAACAAGTGTACGATTACTGGGCCGACGGTATCAACGCACTGCTCGGTAACTTTGTGTTTTTTATCGTTTGTCGACAAACTTTTGCAACCCAAGGTTACAATTTGACAACTTGTTTTTTGGCTTCTTAGGTCTCCGCATGACTAGTAAGGAAACAGAAAAGGATTTGCAGACGCTTCTGTCGATGGATATCAAACTTAGACTGCTGGATACCGAAGGAATCGACATTCCACAAGACCCGCCCCCGATTCCGGATCCTCCGCCAAACTATGATTTTTGCTACGACGTATAAACATTTTAGATTCAGACGTTTTTACAGTTCTAACTACTGCTATCTCAGTTTATTCTGATTAAGTATATTGTACCAAACATGACTGCTAGTAAAAATATGGCAATATTTATGATATTCCGTATGAACTTTTGTAGCATCTCGTAAAATTGATAAATTTTAAAAACATCTTTTTCATAGAAAGTCATATTTTGAACTTCACCAAAGATGATATAGGAAAGAATCTTTGACATTAGAATTATTTTAACAAAATTGCCTATGGCAAATATTTAAAAAATTGCATAGCCCTATCGAAACATTATTCTCATTCCTAATTATTTATCGTGATGTAAACGAATCAACGATTCTTACAAATTCTTATTTTCCTTACTAATGATTTATTTGACGTATTTTTTATGATTTTAATCTTATTTTTAAAACGACCACATTTGATTCGTAAGTTTTGTAACTAATATAGGTGAACATTTTTTATTTTTAGACCTATAATATTTTTAAAATGTAGAGGCGCTGTAAATTTTCATTATATTGTTTGTGAACGGTGTTTTGGTGACAGTCACGAGACCAAAAAGTAGTTGACGTAAAGTAGTCGATTTCATTAGTCTTTGTCTTTCGCGGACCAAGAGGTGTATGTATGTTTTTTCTGTGGAAAGCTCATTTCTGCCGTTTTGATCATTAATATTTAACTTGAAATTTATAGAACTGAATAAAAAACTATCATACATCAGCGCTATGCGATCTTTCAAATATTTTTTTAAGCAGATGAACAATTTATTCGAAATAAAAAACACTAGTAGCAACCAAGCGAACCAGCTGGTACGGTAGTGTTATTTTACATTTTATAACTAATTCGTCAATTGTACCTATATTTATGACAACGAGACAAGCATTTTCTACCTATAGTAATACCTATGTCGAACGATCGAATTCTTTTGATAGTGCTCAATATATATATATATGNATATTGCCATCCAGAGCTACCCAGTGGGCTGGGGTGTACCCCCATTCGTCCCTCACGCTTAGAAATTTATTTATTTATTTTATTATATCAGTATTTTGTATCGATTACGTTAAGCCTTTTAATAAATAACAATTTTACGTACCGTAGCAAAATCTTGTATTTGTTTATTCACAGTGTGGTGTACAGTACCCCTTAACTTGATTATAATGATCACATAATATATGTAAGCAAAGCAATAGAGTCAATGTATAGGATATTATAAATTTACAAAATACAACGTGTTTTGATTCAAATGTACAGGTAAACACGGTAAACTTTGCTTAAAACGCAGTGCTCGGTAGGCGTGGGCTCCGTGGTTGTCGCAGTTTGTGCATGCTCGAGAGAAAGACAGCTAGGTATACGTGGATTGATGGATGGATTACTCGTCTTGAAAAATTTGATAATTCTGAGAGTCGTTTGCGTACTGGTCCGGAGGCCAAACGAAGAATTCGATGAAATTTAACACTGGGCCTCGGCTAAAGGGATTCCAGTACTTGCCTCTCTTGTCCCTTAGGTATGAGTACCTCTTGTAGTTGAACATCTCGTTGGTTGTCAAATTCATGCACGCGTGCAGCACCTTTGATGTAAAAGCAACACTTTTATTAACACCATCACCTCAAATCAGGTACATCGCAGAGTCAGTTTTGACATTCAACGTTACCGAAGTGCACGTCAATATCCAGCCCAAGCCGCAGAAAAGGAATGCCTCCAACAAACCCAGCACGTACAACAGCTGTATACCTTCGATCGCTATGCAGTAGCAAGCAAAGTACAGTGTGAATGAGCAGTTTATGGCGACGCACATCACGAAGAGGAAGAACCACATTCTGAAAGAAAAGGTTTTTTTCCTAATTAACGCGTAATTATGTAGAATAATGGCCATTGAATCATATTTCAGTCTCAACGTTTAAGATAAATTTTTACAGCATCGCCTGCACGACCACCGTCCGAACAATGGAATTTTTTCACTCGCCAACAAGAAGGTGGATTAGATGAAAACCAAACAACGCGTTGAACGAAAAAAAAAAAAAAAAAAAAAAAAAAAAAAAAAAAAGCTATCAACAATGAGAAAAGAGTGTGTGGTTGCCTGTTTCTAAGCCCGACGCAGTTGTATATGAACGGACAGTGATGGTCAAAGTAGGAGACGCATCGGTTGCAGATCCGACAATGTTTGGCGCGCAGGGGCCGCAAGCACTTGCAGCTGTAGCACAGCCTGGACAGAATGAGATTGCGCTTTTTCCACTTGTCGAAGTAGGGAATCTGCAACAATACTTGGACGCATCACAGACGAGGTCCATCGTGCACCATATCTCAATTATCGACCGTATGAATCACCTGTTTGATCGCCCGGTAGTACGTGTCGCTGTTCTGCGGTATGTAACCGGGATCCTTTCTGTTTGCCACGATCCAAGCTATCCACATGATGGCGTTCCAGTAAATAAAGCAGTAGTGGCTTCCGCGCAGCAGGTTCCACGTGATCGGGATGCACTTGAACAGGTACATGGGATAGCCCCAGAGGAGCACCGATATCAGGAAGAGCAGGAGCGGGCCCTTACTGTCGCCCGCCCCTCCGAACAACAGCGCCCTACGCAGAGCACGACAGGATCGATTAATCCATGGTATAGATATCGTTATTGGAAATCCTCCTGGAAAAACTGGCACTGCTCAAAGTCACAAAGCAGACAATCGAAGCTGGGCCATGATGTTTGCTGGGAGAGCCACGCGCTGACACGTATATATTGAGAGCCCAATTAATAAGTGTATATATAAACGCACCAGAGCTCGTTGACGGGGGGTATCCACCTGGCCCTGCGCTTCATCTCAGCCTGTAGGAGGCGCACTATCTCGGCGTGCCGGTGGCTCTGGGCGAGCTGCAGGGGCGTCTTGCCGTTCTTGTCCCGGGGCTCGAGCTCGATCTTGCTCTTCTCGCAGAGGATGCGGACGCAGCTGAGGTTGCCCGACAGGCAGGCCAGGTGGAGGGGCGTCGAGCCAAAGTAGTCGGGCCTCTGGAGGTCGACCCCGCTGTAGATGAGCAGCCGGATGAGCTCCGGGTGGCCCTTGTACGCGGCCTTTAACATTATTATTTTCTCTGTGAATTGTCTATATGTACCCCGGAACAAGGATTATCAAGGAATCATGTGTGCAATGCGGATACCGACACCTTTCACGGGGTATTGGCGTGCGTGGCGGATGATTGTGCGCACAAATTAACGAATGAGTCGGTGCATGATGGGTTGAATTTGTTCGTTCGCGCCGAGGAGCCGTTTGAGCGCTCGGAGGCTATACAACGTACCCAGTGCAGCGCCGTGTCGCCGTTTATGTCCGTCAAGTGGCTTTGGGCCCCCGAGCCGAGCAGGAAAGCCGCAGTCGCGAATTTTCCGAACATGCAGGCCGTCATCAAGGGCGTCAGGCCCTTCAAGTCCGCCGCGTTGACTGCCACCCCGGACTGTTGGGTGTAATGAGTTGATTCTACCATTTTTCATGTGAGCTATATGGAGTAAGTGTGTTGCTTGCCTTCAGAAGTAGCTGAGCGACGGCACTGTGGCCCTTTCGGCAAGTCCAGTGTATGGGTCTGGGGCCCTGTGTGCCGAGGCAGGACAGGTCGACTGGTCCATTTCTCTCGATCAAGTAGCGCATCACCTTCAACGAGAGGTGATGTACATATTATACGAGTTGGAATCTATGATTTCGCTTTGTTTGAAAATCCTTACCTCGATATTGCCATCCAGAGCTACCCAGTGGGCTGGGGTGTACCCCCATTCGTCCCTCACGCTTAGAATGTCGGACCCGTTTTTGTCGACCAGTGCGTCGATCGCCTCGATATCCCTGCATCATCGTTCGTCGAAACATATGTATTTAGCTCATCGTTACGATCGTACACTATACTGATGGTACAAATCATAACGATGTCCCAAAAATTCTGACTAGCTCGAAAAAAACTAGGGTAGTAGTTTCAATGTATTATAACGAATTGAAACAGAATTTAACAAGTAGAAATGTCAGCGAGAGTCCCCCCAAAAACAAATGGCACAAATGGCCAAAACATGTTTTTCGCGTCTAGAAAAAAAAACCGAAGAATCGTACATAAAAAAGTGTGGTGTAAAAAAGATGTGCAATTTTAAGACGAACAAAATGAGCCGTGTTGAGTTTAGATCGGTTCAGCCGTTTTTTCGCAAATCCCAAAAACTGCCATTTTGAGCCATTTTTCTAACACAAGACAGATATCATAGCCCTTATTATACACACGAAATTTCCGCTTAATTGGTTCTTAACTTTTTGCTCTCGAAAAATGGCCATAAAAAAGTTGTTAGCCAATATAGGTATATTTTTCAAATGTATTTCTCTATTTATGTATTTACGTTAGAGTACCATTATATTTACAATTAGAAGTACCTTAAACATCAATAACAAAAATCGGCTTTTTGCTCTCCTTTTAGTGGAATCTGCGGCTATCCGAGCCGCCGCTGGAGGCCACGTCCACTTTCCGCATGGATGTTTTCTTCAAAACGCGTTCAAAACAAAATGTATTTTTTTTGCAATCAATTTTTAAGATACGTCTAATTGATAAAAATGAATGGAATTGTAGGTATAATTGTAAAGTAAGTATAGATGAAGCGAAATACGTTTGCAAAATGTACCTATGTTGGCTAACAACTTTTTTATGGCCATTTTTCGGTTTTTGCTGCGGTTCGCAAAAAGTTTAGGACCGATTAAGCTGAAATTTCGTGTACATGATAAGGGATATGATATCTGTCTTGTTTTAAAATTTTAGCTCTAAATATTGTGTATTGAATACGAGTTATTGAATTTCGAAAAAATGGCTCAAACTGGCAGTTTTTTGCAATTTGCGAAAAAACGGCTGAACCGATTTGAACCCAACGCGGCTCATTTTGTCTTAAAATTGCGCATATTTTTTGCACAACACTTTTTTTTGTACGATTCTTCGATTTTTTTCTAGACGCGAAAAACGTGTGTTGGCCTTTTTTACCATTTTTGGGGGGACCCTTGCTGACATTTCTACTTGTTAACTTCTATTTCAATTTGTTAAAATACATTAAAACTACTGCCCTATTTTTTTTCGTGCTAGTCAGAATTTTCTGGGCCGAAAAACTAATTCTATCATACTATAATTAATATTTGTGTCGTCTCTCTTTGCATTAAGAAAAATGTAAATAGTACTTTATTGTTCGGCTCCCCCATGAAAATACCTACTCTTTATTTTTTAAATGTTCAGTTGAGCTGATTGAATAAAAATAGGTACATACTGTTCTTTTGAGTCTTGAAAAATTTTCCAAATCAATCGCTACAGTCATTTTTCGCGTACTTTAGTCGCGTTTGAGCTGAACAACTAGATTATTTCATTGGTAAAATTACGGTAATATGTTAGCAAGTGAATCATCGTTACCCTGGAATTGTGCCGACTTAATTAGGGCATAAAAAAAATCAGATAGTTATATGTTAATCAAATATTTATGTTGGCAACAATAACTACGTAAGATTGAGTGAAGCCAAGATAAAATACAATGAGATCAATCGGTACCAACTGGAAATTTACGGATACCTACTGTTGGAACCGATAAATCAGCACATCATAAGCACTAACAATATAAACTAACTACAATTTATTATTAGTACTTTTAGTGCGCTTGGGGTTTTTTTTTTTTTAGTGATGTATGCCTATGTATGGTAAACAAAATGATAGATTTAGAAACATTACAAGCATACGCACCCAGCCCGCACAAGCTCAAAAATGCGTTTGGTTTCTTCGCTGGGGCCCTGTCCGGGCGCCGCCTCGTCCTCGTAGATGTCGTCATCGGGCCCGCTCCGGCAGGTCCTGGACCGCGGGCTCTTGGAGGGGCCCTGGCTCGACTGGGCGGCACCCGATAGTGGGCTGTTGGGCAACAGGTGGCCGACCATGTCCGGATCCGGGCTTAGCTCCCATACGGACTTGGCGGAACCCGGCCCCGTCACGGGACTCACCGGGTACACCTGCGCGCAGAACCCTGGTGTTACTTTTGTTGGGTAATTTTTTTTTTTTTTTTTTTTTTTTTTTTTTTTTAAAAAAAAAAAAAAAAAAAAAAAAAAAAAAAAAAAAAAAAAAAGCTATCAACAATGAGAAAAGAGTGTGTGGTTGCCTGTTTCTAAGCCCGACGCAGTTGTATATGAACGGACAGTGATGGTCAAAGTAGGAGACGCATCGGTTGCAGATCCGACAATGTTTGGCGCGCAGGGGCCGCAAGCACTTGCAGCTGTAGCACAGCNTGAGTTGCTCCCTATACGGACTTAATGTGCGCCCATGTAACGAGATGATAGTATTTGTATTTAACTTTTTTATTTACTATTATCAACTATTGTCATGGACATAGTGTGCGTTTTAATGTTTCAAGTATATGAGGATATGTAAATAGGTACTTAAAGAGGTACTCTACACCTTTTTGAAATTTGAACCACAGTATCAAAACTTTGATAAATTTTAGAATTTATTTTTAATACCTGTTCCCGAAAATCCAGTACAGATTATCAAAGAAGTAACAAGAAAACAAAATCTTTTACGTTGAGATATTTAACGTGGTTCTCGTTACACGTAGTGTTTTCTGAAATGACAGAATTTGCGAAGACGGCAGCGCCGTAAGAGGAGATAATTTCGAAAACGTATTGAATTAAATATTGTAGTAAATTATAGCTTTCACATTTAGAATCGTTACACCAGTAATAGCATTGTTTCTTTTGGTAAGGCTTTCGTCAATTATTTCCATCCAATTTGATTTCATTCAATGATATACACTTTTCAATCGTTGATTTTTTCCCCAATTTTTCCTCATAATCGAATAATTTCTTTAACATTTTTCTCTGATGTTGCAAGGCTTATTTTTTTCTTCGTTTTAACTATACTACTTTTTTGTAAATAAATACTACACCAAATATACAATCAATAATTTTTGATTCCGTACACAGCTTTTACAATTTTATAGCGTCTTATAGTGCAAGTGCTCGCATTCCTTTTAAGTACCTCTCTACAATCCTCTCCACTTACTGCGATGAACGTCCTCAAGGGACACTTCAATTTTTCCGCCCAAAGTTATTTAAAATCTAAAAGTGAGACCTAGTAAGCGAAAAACTAATAATAAAAATATATATACTAAGCATTATTCAAGTGTGCAAAAACGGCACGTCATTAAAATTTTGAGAAAAACTTATGTAACTACGTTTCAAAAATAGTTGAGAAAAAACAAAATATTCTCATAGTGTTTGATTTAAAACACTATAGCCTTGAAAATAAGTATAATGGACCGATAACAATTTTATTTGCTAACCATTACACGTGTACTGTACGTTTAAATAGTACATTGAATATAACACTTGTTTGATGTTAAGAGGATCGTGGAAATCAATTATTGATCAATTATGTACCACCCAAAATTTAATCTAACTCTTATAATTATAACTTTTTACTCGATAATGATTAATTTTAGAAACTTTCGCAGTTGTTAGTTACATAATATGTAAGAGAACTCAATTTTAACTCGGACAGTTGGTGCGGAAGCCTCGGGAAATAAAAATAGAAAAGTCCTGAGTGCGTGACCAGTAATATGAGGAGTCGCTCTAGCAAAATTGAAAACCCTATATTTTGCTCTCAACTTTTTACACTTCAAATAAAAAACATATTTATATCTAATATTCTACATCGGTTAGTGATTTTTTTTTTATTATTTTTTTTTTTTTTTACCAAAAACTACGTAATTCGCATTTACTTATTTTAACCCAATCCAAGCCCCTTCTTACATACTTCAACATATATATTTATACCGGTGATTCCGCCGTAATTTACTCAAAACAAATTAAAAAATAGGTAAAAAAGAAGTTAAAAAAATTTTGTTTCATGATATTTCCATCTTAAACACCATACTCAAAGGGTAGTTGAGTGTTTAAAGGGATTATACTATAATGTCACTTGGTCAAAAGATACGAGACATTTTGTAAAAGTTAGTTTTAGTCAATTGTCCGGAAAGTTACGTTTGTTTCTGGTACGTGTAGAATGATATTGTGGATATTTGCTGAAAATACGTTATTCCTCTTCAAACCGATGTAACTGATTGGTGGGACTAAAAGTACAAAACTTTTTTACTCGCTAGGGCTTGATCCCAGCTTTCATTTAAGCCAAGTTAGAACCTACTCTTAAAATAGGCTTTTTGGTACAAATGCCGAGACATGTGTCCAATATTGTGAGAACCAATACTTTTATCATCGAGGCGGACGAAACGGACATTTTAAGCTTCGAAAAGCTCGCACAGCTCAAAGACACGGTGTAGATTTTTTTCTGCGCATATTTCTGTACCAACATATGCTATAAGAAAATGCATACCCTGTACCTTCAACTCTTTTATTCACACACAATTGAAAAATTCGAACCTTCGGTAACGTTATAGAGTTTCGAAAACGGACCGATAACCTTTGATTATTATTTAATTCCGTACATAGTATACAGTTTAAAAATCGACAACACTTTATTACCCAAGTTTGGGGCCAAAGTGCACGCTTGTGCACTTCTCGAATTGTTAGTAGTAAAATAATTTGGTTGTCATTTCGGTGGCAAGAGTCAACAATGCCCAAAGTTGTTGACTTGTGTCTACAGTTAAGGTGTACAGGCTCGATGATCGCACAACGAGGGCACAACCTCAGTAAACGTATATAATATGAGGTGGAGACATCGTCTGAGTCAGTTATGGTGGAATTACCCAGAAAGTAATAACATAGGTAGTTTACTTCATGGCTACGCGCGTCAAAAGTAAAATGTCAATTTGTCTCACGAAAAAGGCCCGTTGGATAAAACATTAAGACGCACGTCTCTCACATTTTTTCTCACAAGTGAAGATTCGTTGCTCATACAAATAATCCGTTGCTAACAAAAAACTTGACTTTATGTACGTACACATTGCATTGGAAAGGATACTTTGTGGCAGTGCTATTAAAACTTATTTTTTTTAAGAGATAGCTTCTTCTTTCAACATATATATGTTTGTATGCATGCGCATATCCTGTACTATAAAAAATTATACGTAGCGAGGGTGCAAGGGCCGACGGAAAGGACTTCTAATGACAATAGAAGAGATTGTAGTAGTCAATGACTGTGTCATTCGCATTTACTTATCTTCAGTGTGTGGATTGAAAATCTAACATTTAATGGCATACATTTTTCCCGAGAAACCAATACTACGTAATGCAAATACTGATTCCAAAAATAAAAACTTTTTTTTAACACTTCTGTACACTATATTAGTATTAAATTGTCCAATATTCACCAAATTTTTCGATGTTTGTACAGTTTGTTTACGCAAATGGACGTGTTCGAAACTTATAGTTCGTTTTTATAGGAAATGTATTTTGAACTGAACACGGAATGAAGCAGCAATACAAATATAGTAAGATGTACAATAAAGCCTAATGGTAGTGTGAACAAACTGAACTTAACAACTCAATGCAAATAAAAAATTATAAAGAGTTAACATTTAATATTATTTACACATTGATCATATGCGACGAATATTAAAACAATGAGTTTTTATTCAATGAATAACAATGTTGAACATTTTTTTTATAAACCAAAATTCTTTGTTTGTATCTTACTTTCTTTTCTTATTCATATAATTATTTAAATCAAAAAATTGTTTTGATGTTTATTGTATGATAAATGTTAATATGTTATAGAATGTTGATTAAACTTTGTTCTAAGCTTTAGCCCAGAGGAGATCAGGAGATCGGGGGACCTCCGAGGCCTCTAAAATTATGTAATTAGAGGTGACACCATTTTTTTCCGCGATTTACATGCAATAGTGATATCTGTAAAAATCATATGTATGGGTCATTTTACAAGAATTGCGATATTTTAACGCCCTATACAATTATTTAAATTCAATGTTCAGAGTTTTTTTTAATTTTCCCCAAGTGACGTGAGATCTAAATTACTTAGGAACTTTTGGACCCGACTCTACCGTCATTTTTTGAAAATCCATGTCAATTTAAATGTAATTTTTTCAAAACTTTATAAGAGCGTTACGCATGATGACACATCTGTCATTACCGTAAAACTACTTTTTTGTGTGAAGCCCCAAATTAGAGTTTTACAACGATATTTAGTTTGTCACATATGCTTTCCTAACTCCTTCGTACACTAGGTGTAGTCGTATAATCAATAATTCCAAATCCCTTCCAAACTAGGAGCGTTACGGTCTTATTGTACCGGAAAAAATGTTGTGTATTTGCAACGATACTACAAATAGCCACATTCAGATTTGGGTTTGAAAAAAAATTAGTACACTCTGAAGTATAAAAAAATCAATTTCCCGTATCTAAAAATATCTTTGTCTTTGTGGTTGGCCTTGTGTTACTTACTGTGACATCGGTATGCCATATTAAATCTGTATACTCGAGAACTAATAATTTGAGTCACCGTTGATTCTTACTGCTCCTATTATATGTCACGGTATTGTATTGTATTGTGCCATTATATATACATATATATCGTATATAATCATTAATGTATTAAACATTGAAGTATTAATTGAAACTACACCTATTTTACGTATAGGTATACTCATCCCAACGATAATTGCACTACCTTTGTACACAGTATCGTTTATGGAAGGTATATTTATATTTATAATTATATTATCTGCCATATAATTTTATAAAAGTATAACTTTTTACTTGGATACCCAAGCACCTACTGTCCACTGGTTTTTATCAGTGTAAGAATCTTTGGAGAATCATTTCCATCGAACATTCGCATATTTCTTCAATTATTCTTTCATCTCGAAAATCTGCTTTTCGGGATATCACTCGGTCTTTCTGCAATCAATGCTCGTCACGCGCCCCATACGTACGGCATTATGAATAATTATTGAAAAATCAGTATGTATTTCCAACACCGTGGTACCACGCGACACAACCGAGAACTAAAATTTTTTTCCGTGGTTCATATTAAATGACCAAAAATCATGGGGTCTGATGACAACCCTGCGATATCATGCAAATCTTTTTGTTTTATCCTACAAATGTAAATAAAAAGTTTTAATAAAGTTTTTTTTGAATTCACGTGAGTAAATTTTCTTACGTTGTATTTTATGAACAATTTTAGTATTATGTAAAAATTCGAAAAATATTATATATAGCTTGGAAGTTGGCAATCACTTTAAGATTATAGTATTACAACATATTATTTTACGTATGCTAAAAGGATACTTCAAATAATGCTTTTTCAAATTCTCTTCGATTACTTTTAGAGCAGTCGAAGCATCTTACAAGAATTCTTTTGAAGCGGACATTCAAGTGTTAAATAAGAATACTTTCTTTCAAAAAATTTGCTCATTGGGCCCTTAACCGAGAGAGGGGGGTTGAAGGAAAATAGACAATTTTCTTGCGAGAAGATTGCCCATCCCTTCACGAGGACCATTGTGCGGTGAAAAAGCACATGTGAAAATTCATAGAGGTGCTTGTTCAAAATAGTCCCACTGGCCGAGAATCGAACTGCGGCCCTCCGCGTGCCAACCCACGACCTAAGTAGCCGACTGAGACGCAAAAATGGTGTCACCTCCACTGGAACCCGTAAGTATTTGCAATTTTTCCGTCTTAGTACATGACATTGCAAGTAAAATAAGCCTTATCTCGACGGAGTACCTCAAAAAAACATTTTTTACTCAAATATGGATGAAATATTTTTCAGAATTTTCATAAATTCCTCACATTTTTATTTGTTTATCTTTAAAAGGCTGTAATAACAACTTCGCCAACATAAAATGTAATATGTTGTTGATCCAAATATCAAAAATCAAAATATTCTCGAATGTTCGAAATAAAACTTGCCAAATTTATTATTTTAAAGTGATGGTTCATATTTAACGTCTAAGCTATTTGAAACAAATTGAATTGGAACGTTTCGAATCTCTGACAAACTTTAAACTCTAAGTTTAAATTATCAAGTTTTCAAAGACTTGGATGAACAGTGCCTACTTTTGTATGACATGCATAGCTGGTAACGTTTAAATGTTAAAATGGCTACATTGGTCTATATAACAAAAACGTTTCTAAGCACAGAGAAGCTTTAACTGTGTGCATCATACCCGTGTAAAAAAAAATCAATTACTGTACTACGATCTAAATATAATTGATATGAAAATTGTATCTTTCCTGAGTGAAATGAGTCCTCACGGATTCCGATCGGACCATCCAGTACTCCAATAACTCTGACGCCTAAAAAAATATGTTGAAATGGAATTTCTTTCTTTTTTTTTGTTCATGAAATTAATATTCTATAGAATAATGTACTAATCAGTCATCTATTCTTATATATGGGGTAAATAACGTATGAAAAAAATGCGTCAGCGACAACTAGAGAACTAGATTCACGGTAAAATCTCGTAGTAAAATCCAAGTGTGAGCTGCTTTGCTTTGTTTATAGCGTTAAAGGCGCATCAGCCATAACATAAACATACAAACCCTAGATATATATAGGTACAGAACAATTAACAGTATACATACATGGTGGTACAGACACATATGGTATAAAAATATACTCTGCGTTATTATGGAGCGTCAATTGAACAACAACTGTCATCTACTTATTGTACGTGAATTATGCCATTGTGAAACAACATAGGTGACTTATATTGTTGTACTCATAATATAGCATGCGCACGCAACTAATGCAGGCTACCCTTACGTATACGTGCATAAGGCAAGGTATGAAAATTGAACGGCTGCTACATAAAAATGATACGTGCGTTTTTAAGCATTACGGCCATAGACTTACCTTGCAAAACGCGGGTGGCTCCGTGATGACTTTATATTGTTGCTCAGTTTGGCTGTGAAAAAACTTTTTCACTTATTACTACTATTATAGGTATGGGCCTTCCTGATTGCCGTAAGCCCGTGATCTTGGCTTCGCTGGGAAGCACCTGCCGAACGCAACTATTGCATCCAGCTCGTGGAGCAAATACGCGACTGACCAAACTCGGTTACAATGGAGAGAAAAGCTGGAAAAACGAGGACGAGGTAGACTTGGTACGATATTGGTACCTATTGATGTCGCAGGCAAGAAGGGCGGCCGCCCACTTGGTAGCGTGTCTTACGCTTCACCAGCTGGGTTGTGGTGTGGGTGTGATGGTGAACGAGTTGCGCGTTCAAATCGATAAAGCTTTGCGCAGGTTTAATGTTTGACGTTTCACTTGATGCGTGTTTGCGTGCGAGATCCAGGACGAAAAAAAAAAAGAAAGAAAAAAGTAACTACGTCGCAACGTAAAAAATACTTAGTTAACAATAAAAAAAGGAGATTTCGATAGGGTATCAGATTAAAACTTTGATGTGTAGGTTGAAAATTCGATTTTGCGGCTTTTTTTCTATTCGAAATTACAAAAAAAAAACCGAAGCCACCTCTATCCACCAAAATGCCGCTTAGTGCAGTAAATAAGCCGGGAAATGTGGAAAAGTCGCAGACAAGCACCGATTTTAAAAAATTCTTGTTGGTACGTATTCCTTAGACCCCCTGGAACAAGAAAAAATGAATGAATGGGGGTGATTTTAAACATCCCCAAGCAACCCCAAAAGTAGCTCTTGTGTTAAAATTGAATAAATAGATATTTAACCCCCCCCCACCCCCACTCCTTAAAGCAACCCAGAAAGTTGCTGTTGTAACATTTTATAAATCGATGTTTTGCCACGAAAACCTAGTAGAGCAGATTTTCGTGGCAAAATATCTATATATTCAATTTCAACACAAGAGCTACTTTTGGGGTTGTTTAGGAGTGTTTAAAATCACCCCCATCAATTCATTTTTTCTTCTAAAGCGAAGGTTAGTGGAGATGAATGTTCTAGGGGTCTAAGGAATATGTACAGTCGTCTTTGTCTGCCGATACCCGATTGCTATCTGTATACTATGCAGTATAGTTCATTAATTTCATATTTGGTGATTTAGTTTATGTATATAAATACGAAAAATTTTGAATCTTCGAAATGAAATGTTTTTTTTTTAACTTTTGACTTAACTATACACTGTACTTTTATTCCATCGAAATACTGATTTGCATAAAAAGAGTAACGTCGAATTCTTTTTTTATTAAAAAAATATTAATTAAGTTCTCGTTAAAAAAATTAGCGCGGGTTTCATCACGAGAGTACAAAGTGTAGCGGTGAACTTATAGTTTCTTTAACTGACAGCGTAAAGAACTTTTTTAACGTACATTTTTTACTTTCAAAACATTTTCAGTGTATGGTCAAGATCTGGTGATGAAAATGTCTGAGTTTGAAATCGAATTTATTATTCTGATTTTACAACTTGATTCAACATAAATAAATCGAGAAATAAATGTTAAAATTAACATTAGAGGCTTTTTCAAATAATATTTGTTTTAGTTAACTTTTTATTTTCCTAAATTCATGCCAAGCCCTAAGACAGTCCCATTACATTTTCAATAAATTTTAATTTGAACTATTTGTATCACTACTTTTTAGGTACCGCTGCTTTACAGAAGTGCCTTATATCTTCGCCGAAGCAAAAAGTGTAACTGCCACTTATGAAGACATGTGAATCGACGCCTTTAAAAGTTTTCATCCGATTGGGCTTGAACTTCCCCACATTTCAAAATCCTGAAAATATCGTTGAAGAGAAAATTGTTACCAGCCCCAAGACTGCGCAACTCTGAGAAACTAAAGTCAGTTTTTTTGCATGTAACTTTTTAAGTGGATATTGTAGGTCTATACGAAGTATAGAAAAAAAGTAGATCTTAAAAAAATTAAACTTTTGACCACTTACGTATTCCTATTAGAAGGTACTTTCATACTCTTATAGTGAAAAAGATTTTCTGGGCACCAAAACCAATCAGTTTTTTAGATTTATCTTGATAATTCAAAGACTTGCACATTCAATGTTAACAAGATAGTTGTAGATCTCAAAAAAAAATTAAAAACAGTTTATAAAAAATACGTTTTTGCTGATGATAGTAAAAAGTTGACATTATACCACAAAGTTGTGCATGTTAAAGTTGTAGATCTTAAATATAAACTTTCCATGTTTTTATGTATTTTTTGTAAGACTTGTGTAATGCTCTGAATATTTAAGAAAATATTTCAACATATCAAAAAATCAATTCTTTTGCCACAGCTTATGTTATAGATGAATGCGTAGTGGTGGAAAATTGTACATCCTGTTGTTCTACGTTTGAGAATATATAGTTATAACTAAAATGTGATTATTATGATTTACAAATATAGAGAATCTACAAAAATAGCTAAGAACTACTTAATGTGATAGCGTTAATCTCGGTGTTAATATTGATTATAGTTACACATCTTTTTTAAACTCATAAATATGTTTTTACTTTATGCTCAGGTAAGAAATATTGCAGTCATGCCTTAGATCAAAGAATTTAATTTTTTGCAGAAATTCAGCCGCTTGTCTAAAAGCCGCATATCTATGAACTTAAGATGCTTTGGCGATGTATGGCGGACGTAATGACAGTTACTTGTATTATTACTATAAAAATAGAGTATAGAAATAAAGCCACAGTATTGTGTTTTAATAAAAATTTTTAAAATAGATGCATAATAATAATAGTATGATTATTGGAGCTTTTGGTCCGAAAAATTTTTACTTTCAATTTTACTGAGTTTAAGTTTTCCGTGCCGTTAAAAATACGCGCGTACCAACCTAACTTGATCTGTAAGTATACCCGTAGTACTGCAGTAATGAGTGTGCTACTGTGCTGCAGTACACGGCGGACGGCGCACGATGGAACAAAAATAATACGTATCATGTTGTATTGTTAATATGTTTTTACAGTGTTTCTGTTCACGCAGATATTACTTTTATATGGTATGATTCAAGAAGAACAGAGTAATTTCTAAGGTTAGTTAAGATTTTAAAAACTCCCATGGTAACTGGGGTAAGAAGTTTTCTTCTATAGGGTTGCAAAAATTTTCATTTACCGATTTTTTTAGTTTATCTGATACCACGTAAAAACCAGTTTTTCACGCTTTTTAGATAACAGTACACAAAATTCCTAATCCATGCTCCAAGTTCTTCAGAGTTTGTCAAAAAATATAAAACCAGGGGCCTTCAAATTTTGCTTATCAGTACAAGATCACAATTTTTTGTATTTGTCAGTTATGGAAGTATCAAAACAGTCTACAACGGTCAAGTATCTCAATCAATCAGAAGCAATAAACATTGATAAGGAATTATTTGAAAAGTACAAGTTCAGTGTTGATCAATTAATGGAATTGGCAGGCCAAAGCTGTGCTATAGCAATTGCAAAGTGCTATCCACTTTCTGCTGAATCAAAAAATAATGTTCTGGTGTGCTGTGGTCCAGGAAACAATGGGGGTGATGGTTTAGTTTGTGCCAGACATTTAAAGTTATTTGGATACTTACCAGAGCTGTACTACCCTAAAAAAACAAATAATAATCTTTACCATAATTTACTTCATCAGTGTAAAGAGAATGACATTCCAGTTTTAGAAAAAACTACAGATATCAAAGATACTAAAAATTACAAGGTTATTGTTGATGCTCTTTTTGGATTTAGTTTCAAGCCACCTGTGAGACCAGATTTTGTCTCAATCATTAACGTGTTAAAAAGCTCAAGTGCACCCATTTGTAGCATTGATATTCCATCAGGATGGAATGTTGAAAGTGGACCACCACAGGAAGATGGTATTGAACCAGAAATGCTGGTATCACTGACTGCACCAAAACTTTGTGCTAAAAGCTTTAATGGAAAATATCACTATCTAGGAGGTAGATTTGTGCCCAAAAATTTAGAAATGGCTCATAAATTAAATTTACCAAAATATCCAGAAACAGATTTGGTAGTACCTTTGTAAGATTTTATACATTTATTAAATGGTGTATAATAATGTCATTTGGTTGATTAGCACATTGTTTACATTATCGAAACATTGCAATGTAAAAAGTAAACCTTGCACTTTGAAAAAAAATTTTCATGCATATATTTCTTAAAAAAAAATTCTGTTCTGAATTAAGTATTTTAATGAAATTATTTTGAATAGTATTTTTTAAGGGACCATCTATTCTTATCGGAGGATCCGAATGATATTAGGTTTAAATGAAATTGAAATTATTTTAAATTGATTTTAAACCGATTTTATTAGCTACCTTATACAAAATTATTATTTACTCAGCCAGAGAATTTTTTAATTTTATAACGATTGTATCTATTGGACTCCGTTATGCAATAAACCATGCCTTCTTTTGAGTATTTAATTTGGTACCGTTTTCATTGCTGACTACAACGGTACGGTATTAAACACCGAAGTTTATTTTTGTACGATTGCAGTTGTTCATTAAAACAAGTATGTTTTTACAATCTTATTTTTTTCCTGAAATTTTATCTAAAACGATCTGATATTGTTCCACGAGAGCTCATTTTGTTTCTGCTATAGATATAAAAAACTAGCTCTGAAAAAAGTCCTTAATGCCGATTAAATATTGTTAAGGACGTTCATTACAGTCAAAGGGGAAATGTAGGGAGTGTAGTAAGCGGCAACGACGGCAACTGTTCAGCTTGCATTAGTATATATATATATATATANTATTTATATATCTATATAGCTTTAGCTGCAGGCTAAGTCTAAGTGTGGATATATATATATATATATAATATGCGTCTGGCACTGTTTTTTTGTTTTAATACTAAAATAACTTGTCGATCCCTCTGAAATTGGAATATAATATTAGTTTTATGGCATTGCGTCATGCACAAAAAAATGGACGAATTCTACCAGCCATTTTTTTATGAATTCCATTTTTATGTGACTTCTCCGTAAGCAAGGTTACGTGTTAAATTTAAGTTTTTTCAACATTTAAAATCTAAAAAAACGGTGTTGTGAAACGGTCTCAAATTTTACATGTAACTTTCTAACACCATTATGAATATCCTGTTAAAATTTCACGAAGATTCTACACAAAATGCTATCTGAAATGTAGCGTCCTTAACATTATATGGATCATTTCACAAAAAATGTGAGATTTCATTAAGTCTATGTTTAAAAACAATGGATCGAATTATTTCGAGTCGGAACTTTTTTTAAACGGTGTAAACCAATCTTCCTTAAATGCATTTTTAAGATCGTGTCGAAATAGTAAAATGCTGTTTCAATGCAATCTTTTGCGGCTATCTCCATGAACAAGTAAAGTCGGTACATGATATTATGTTAAAGTTATTTGTGTTATTCCTATCAACGAAAAGCTCATTGATATACGTTATAGAAATAATCAAAGTAATTTGTTTACCTGTAACAAATTAACAATGCTGCTAGGACGTGCTTACATCTTTCACTTAAGGTGGCTCCTCACTATAAATCCCACAAGAAAAGTAAGCATACTGCAACACAGCTTTTCATTGGCTGTGGAGGTTCTTGACTTAAAATGGATATAGGTACCTATAGTCCCTTCGAAAAAAGCTTTGTCACATCTACAACGTTGACCTATATCGTACAATACAGTGACCCGAGGAGACGTATGTATACAAAAAGTACGTAAGTCAGCCCCGCATTAAATTATTTTCTTAGTTCAGCGTCTCATTTATTTTTATTATAATTACGATTCCGCACAACTCCTATTCATTTTACGTACAACTTTCTGACCAATTCAAACTACGCGGGCTACCGCTCTTCGGTGTAGCAGACGCCCCACACTTTTCATCTGTTCCGTGACTTGCACAGTTATCTATACTATTTTCACAAAATATCCTATAAAACCCATGGTAATGTCCAAGTACCTGAATGTCGTTGGAAAGATTCTGATTTCTTCTAGCTGCTACATAGTTTTCTATTAAGAACTACAGTATCTTTGCTGAGATGTCATACAACCTGCGCTACCAATTTGACGACCCTCCATAAGAGGCTATGTTATAGAGTCTATTTTCCAGTTAGTTTTTTTCAACAATTTTGGTGGTGACAAGGTCTAAAATTTTGGGAAAAGACTCCTTGCACCTTCAAGAATCATCCTTTAAAATATCATTTAATACTTCAGTGTTTTGATTTAGTGAGGAGCCACCTTAAACCAGCTTTGCACGTTCATTCCGTATTTAATATTTTGCCATTCAAAGTAATTCCTCCAGTAACTTTTAGAGGCTCATTTTTTATTCCGGCCGTTTTCAGACAAAAACCCACAACATTTAATTCAGCTTTTCCTTCTGATAACTTATGGCAGGTTATGTGATCAGCGTTTAAAAGGCGTTCTCTCTCTCTATAAAATTCCTGCTAGCTTGTGTGCAGCTTCCGAAATTGAATATACTATTGGGATTCCAAAAGGTCACGTGACTCTCGCGGTATATATAGTCACTTGGGGGAAAAATAACACAGGCCTTATGGATGCCATTCTATTTTTATTTTTTTTACACCTTCAATGATTGTAATACGTTAAAAGCCTTTCAATAACATCTTTTTAAGAAGATGATAATACCTTAGATATTTTTTTCCAACTCAATTAGTCTTTTGCAGCTTAAAACTTTCCTTTGAAAGTATGAAAACGCACATTTAACCTGTACAAAAGTCATGTTTACACAACTATATAATATAAGCAGCGGCGGGAGGAATTTGTACAGGTTAAATGTGCGTTTTCGCACTTTCAAAGGAAAGTTTTAAGCTGCAAAAGACTACTTAATTGAGTTGGAAAAAAATTTCTAAGTTTTGTCATCTCCTCAAAAAGATGTAATTGAAAGGCTTTTATCGTATTACAATCGTTGAACGTGTAAAAAAAGTAAATATAGAAGAAGTAACAATATAAAATTTCGTGTAATTTATAACTAGATAATTCAGACACGATAATTTATAATTTTGTTTTCTATAATACATAATTTTTAAGTGATTTTTTCCATTTACAAATTCTAGTACTGGCTATTTGTCTCGACTATTTGTTAATTAATCTTTTAGTAACTCTTATATTTAGATAATTCACGCACGCTCATTTATAATACTGCCTTCTATAATACATAATTTTTTAATGATTTTTGACATTTACAAATTCAAGTGCTAGCTAATTGTCTCGACTATTTGTTAATTAATCTTTTAGTAACTCTTATATTTAGTCTAAATTAATATAAAAAATGTTGTACTTTACACAAATACTTAATGTCCTGAATGATGAATAAGTTAACCTTAATTCAATACGTCTGCTTTTAACTGCTTTTTTGTTTAAAACTCACTCGTTATCTACTACACAGTAATATATATTATTAGCACCAGTAATATTAAATGTTAAATTTTATTCAAAACTATAAATAAGCATCAATTGGATTGTCATTTTTTATTCTACTTTGTCTCGAAAAATATATTTTGTATACTTAGTCTTGACTCATTAGGTATTAATTTGTAAGGTTCACGCATTTTGATTATTAAGTTGTTTGTTTTCATAAGGTTTCCTTCGGAAATATTTGTCTTAAAAGATAGAATGTATATTTTCCATATAATTATTTTTTTTTTCGTGGTAACAAACATAATTTTTGTAAGTTCCCATGTAAAATCCCACGTGGGAACTCACGTGGGGGCATTAGGTATCTCGTGCACGTAAGAATCGTGCACATAAGTATTGTGCACTAAAAATTGTACACATATCTTTATTCACATGATAATTTTGTTACGCAAATAATGGGCACAAAATATATTGTGCACATAATTTTTTTTCACAAAAATACATTTTGCATCGTCGTGTACAATTAATTGTACACTTATAATTGTTAGTGAACAAAAATAAAATAAAAATTGTAAAGTAAATTGAAAAATACTTTTCAAACGGGCACAAGTATTATGCACATGTGTTTTGTGTACAAATAATTATGATAACAAACCAAAATTGTACACAGTACTAACTGTGCACAAAATAACGTTGGGAGAAGGTAAATTAAAAATAAAATTATCTGAGTAGCTATACTTTTATTCTGCCTCCATGTTTTTCCGAAAATGGCATCACTGTCACCAATAATCCACTTTTGCTACAAATGACAATATACCGTATTGTAAACGTACTTTTGTAACAGCATATACATTACGCTGAGGTCAAGAGATGACAGTAGATTTATGTCAATGCGTCGTCATTTTTGTCTTAGCTGCAGTACGCCATCTATGCAGAATTTGTGGACCGTAGAAGGACCTCACTCGCCTTGTTTAGTGAGCCTAGCGCCACGTAAATAATAGCCAAGTATAAGGGTATGTTCCATAAAATTTATTCGTCAGATGGCGTAACCACGCCTCAGAGACAATGGCGTCATTTACGTGTAACAGTTTACTTGTACATACGACTCACCTGCACATAGTAGGCACACAAGTTGGAATTGTATGTATAAGTATACTGTTATACGTTAACGATGCTACTTTCTTCAAGGCACGGTTGTGCCATCCAACGAATGAACTTTATGCGATCAGCGTTAGCCACAATAGTAAAAAGCTTGAGCCGAGTGAACCCAGTCTTTCACTTCAAAACGCATATCAGAAAAATTTGATACTAGCACCGCTACCATTACGGCTGTTAACTACTAAGCAGTACGAGTATTCCTATAGTCAGCTATTACCATTAGTTCAGAGCTTAATCAATGGTAGTGTTGGAGTCACAAGCTCCACCAAGATGTGTTCTGAAGTAAGCAACTGGGTTTAAATTTCAGAGCGCATCACGCATCTTGAACTCTGTGTATAGAAATAAGGGCTATTTTGCCGCTAGGGGCGCTCTCCATCACATGAGGTACTCAATACGTCTTAGTATATCTATAATTTATGTAAGTGCGTGCGCATTGTAATATATAGATACACGAAATACATATAAGTACCACATGTGATGGCGAGCGCCCCCCAGCGGTAGGATGTGGCCC